TCTATTTTCTGCTCAAATTTTGCATTAAAAGATAATGTTTCTAAACATTTTTTAATATCCTTTGTATATGCAATATTTGGAAAGGTTTTCTGAATGCGTTCGTCTACCTTTACGTATTGTTCTTTCCTTTTTTGACTTCCATATATAATTCCGCCCTGTGGATAATTAGTGCGGCGTAATTAGCCACTGCTTTTAATTTTTTTATCAAAAAATATACGTTTGGATGCGGTTGCTTCACAATCTGGTCAAACAGCCTGTTCCAGCCTTCAACTCCATTATTTGTTCGACGAGTTGCTTCCTATCAATTCCACATTTCTTTCGGTATTACAGGATTGTCTAGCCATTGTTCCACAAAATAATCAAAAAAAATTTGGATTTGGTTACTTACAAGGGTTGTCTCTTGTATTGAAATCCACCCGTCATCAATACGTTCTATTGGTACATATGCCAATGCAGCGCACATTCGCAAAAGCTTTCTACATTCAGCATCATTTTTATAATCAGCGGTTGACCCAATTTCTTCAATTTTCCTCCATAAAAATTATTGGAGATGGAAATTGCAGCCTTGTGTCTCCGCTTCCGGATGAACGCTTCGCAAAGCTATGATGGCTGCCTGTTCAAAATCCATAGTTATTTTGCGGGAAACTCACAGTGTTTTTATTTTTAGAATATTAAATAGTTCTTAAACTTCACGGCGTTCACTAGGTAGTAACGGAAAAACTACATGCACGATATTGGTCTCATTTACATTGCTACCTATGTCGGCGTAAATAGTATATAATTGCAAAAATTTCTTTTTGTATTGTATTAAATAGATACAACCGAAATAAATAAAGTGTAGTTGTTCGCAAATGAACCTACAATTATTAAGAGCACCTGGATCTTAATAGAAGTGTTCGCAAATAACACCAAAATGTGGTTGTTCGCATCTGAAACGTTCGCATGTAAGACGACACCGGAAAATTCGTACAAATAGGTATATTTAGCCATTTTTTCATATTAATAATAAAGTTGCACAAGTCCAATAAATACAATTTAAAGTTTTTGAAGAGTGTAAAGCTTTGACCAAAACATTTTGAGAATTTAGTTAGTTCAGGACAGTTCTGAGAAAAGCAAATAATATTTTCAGATTGATAAAAGCATATTCCACATGCTTACCAAATTATGCAATTTGTTCGAGTGACGTAAAGACGAAGAAATGTGTAATTTCCATGTTCAACATCTGTATAATAAATTATTGAATATAATAATTTTTGGACATGTATAATAAATTGATGCATGCATACAGGTTACGACATTTTCAAAAATTTTCTTTATAACAATCAAAAATGTCTAAATAAATGTAAAAAGATTATCAAAAGTAAAATAAATGTCAAAAATAACTATTCGATAGTCTCATTTGATATTATAATTTTGTTGTACGATAAGATTTAGTTGCTTTTTTACAATGGTGTGGTTTTTGCTTTGCAAAGTTTAAATGTCATGACATATTCACTAAATTATAGATGTCATAAAATCGCAATTATGTGGTTTTCGAATAAAGGCAAAGTTTACATAAACTGTAATTTATTACATCTGTTTATACTTGTGCATCCGTCCAGAACAATCAAATTATAAATTTTCTGTCGATCTACTAACTTTTTACCGGAAATATAGCTAAAGGCATGAAAACATAACAAAATAACATATTTAATAAAAATAATTGAAGTATCTCATTTATTAATTTAAGAGTTTAAAGGCTGTAAGAAAATATACAGGGTGTCCCAGGCAAGCAGGTTTCTTCAATAATTGCTTTATAGTTGGAGATATCAAAAAAAGTTTCTAACAAAAGTGGTACCAAATAAGTATCTTCATATCCTGAAATTATTCTCGATTATACAGAGTGTCCCATTTTTCCTGGAGGCTACCTAATTTCATTTTTTCAAATGAAATACCCCATTTATTTTTGCATTTTTGAATTCCACATTAAATTTAAATACCACTTTGTTAACCATATATTGTATCTAAAATACATCAGTTTCCATAAAATTTGCACTAAATCAATAAATAGGTGATTGCAGTACTCTGCGCCATTATGAATATATTCGAAACGGAAGCACACAGAGGTGTGTTATTTTGACACATAGGAAGAAATTTCAAAACTATTTCCACTATTAACGCAAATATTTCCTTTTCAAATTCATTGTAATCTACTACTTCGAAAGTAAATTGCTTCGAGCTAGTATAACTATTGTTTTTTAAATGGAATGTTATATTTTGTATTAACTCATCATGTGCAGAATTTTATTCTCTTTCGTCCAATATAAGGATGTTACTGTCTACGACTAATACTTTTTGAAGAAATTAAACTTTTTTGTAATACCAATTCAATAACGTTTTGTTTTATACATTGTTAATTTCTGAATTGTCTAGTCCATGACTCTGAGTCAAAATGAAAAGATAGACGTGGTTTTTGAATGCAGACGAAATCCTCTCATAGCATCTTGAGTGTATGCTCAGCGATATCCAAACAGATGTAATCCTCGAGTAGATGCTTTCCGCAGGGTGCTACAGTGTTTTGTTAATATCGGAACAGTGAAATCTGCACGTAGAACGTACTCTAAGTCTAAGTCTGTATAGAAGGAAATGAGTATTTGTATCTGACGTTTTAAGTTTACTCAAAGCCATACCTAAACAGTCCAGAAATTAACAATGTATAAAACGTAACGTTACTTAGCACCTTATCAAGCACACGGAATTGACGTTCATAGGAAACAAAGGTGGATAAAAGCGAATGATCGACCAAGGCATACTCGATATACTGTTATGAATTGGTATTATAAAAAAGTTTTTATTTCCTCAAAAACGACGAAAGGGAATTAAATTCTGCACGATGAGATGATAAAGCATACGAGGGTGGATTGATAAGTTTCCGGCCTAACCAAGAGATGACGCCACTAGGCCTACCTTGAGGTGACATTCTATAGTACCATCCTTGGATAGCTTGTAGCTATAGTTTCAGCCCGATCTCCTTGCTAGTGTAGGTTTGACAGCACGCTGAACAAGACGCCTCTGTGGTTTTCGTAAAAATGGAAAAGCAGGAAAATCGTGCTGTCATCAAATACTTTTATTTGAAGGGGTTAACGCCGAAGGAAATTAAAAAAGAGATGGACTCAACACTGGGGACATCCTCCCCGTCATATTCAACCGTTAAGCAGTGGGTTTCCGAGTTTAAAAAGGGTCGTGTGAGCACCTCTGATGGGCCTCGCTCAGGACGCCCCGTTGAGGTCACAACTCCAGATATGATCGAAAAAATTCATCAAATAGTGCTGGGAGACCGCAGATTGAAAGTGCGTGAGATAGCTGAGACCTGTAAGATGTCATATGAACGTGTGCAACATATTTTGCACCAACATTTGCATATGGAAAAGCTCTGTGCAAGATGGGTGCCGCGTTTGCTAACAGTCGACCAAAAATTGATTCGAAAAAACATTTCTACCGCAAATTTGTCATTGTATAAGCGTAATCCAAGCGAATTTTTGCGTCGATTCGTAACCGTTGACGAAACGTGGGTCCACCACTACACTCCTGAAACCAAAGAACAGTCTAAACAGTGGATTGGACCAGGGGAACCAACTCCAAAGAAGGCAAAAACAATTTTTTCGGCGAACAAGGTTATGGCTACTGTTTTTTGGGATGCAAGAGGTATTATATACATTGATTACCTTGCAAAGGGTAATACTATCACTGGTCAATACTACGCAGACTTATTGCAACGTTTGAGCCACGAGGTGAAAATTAAACGACCTCATCTGGCGAAGAAAAAAATCTTGTTTCATCACGATAACGCACCAGCGCACACGTCAATCGTTGCGACGGCTAAAATCAACGATCTAAAGTTTGAATTGATGCCGCACCCTCCTTACTCTCCAGACCTAGCCCCGAGTGACTATTTTCTGTTCCCTAATCTCAAAAAATGGCTTGGCGGTAAGAGATTTGCGGACAATGAAGAAGTAATCGAAGCTGTAAATGGTTATTTTGAGGAGCTTGACGAATCAGTCTATAGAGATGGCATTAATAGACTGGAACACCGCTATGAGAAATGTATCAGCCTTGGAGGAGATTATGTTGAGAAATAAAAAAAAAAAATTTTTAAAAACCTTGTTTTTCTTGGTCAGGCCGGAAACTTATCAATCCACCCTCGTATAGTATTCCATTAAAAAAAAATAGTTGTGCCAGTTCGAAACAATTTATTTTAGAAGTGGTAGATTTCAATAAATTTGAAAAGAAAATATTTGCGTTAATAGTGGAAATAGTTTTGAAATTTCTTCCACAAGCTATGTGTGAAAATAGCACACCTCTGTGTGCTTCCATTTCGAAAATGGCGCAAAATACTGCAACCACCTATTTATTGATTTACTGCAAATTTTATGGAAATTGATGCATTTTAGACATAATATATGGTTAACAAAGTGGTATCTAAATTTAACGAGAAATTCAAAAATGCAATAATAAATGGGGGCATTCTATTTGAAAAAATGTTAGGTAGCCTCCAGAAAAAATGGAACACTCTATATAATCGAAAATAATTTTAGGATATGAAGATACTTATTTGGTACCACTTTTGTTAGAAACTTTTTTTGATATCTCCAACTATAAAGCAGTTATTGAATAAACCCGCTTGCTTGGGACACCCTGTATAATAAACAATAACATAGCCCAAGTTAGTTACCCTTTGTTCCGCAATTTAAAGATGCTTGACGTACATTTTCTTTCTGTAAATTTTCTTTCAATTTTCTGTGTACTTGTTGTGCATTTCGATAGTCGAAATATTAAAACTTGTCAACAGCTTACTGAGCATCGGTTTTTTATTGATTGTTGATTTATATAGTTTGTGCGTCCAAAAGTGATTTATCACTGTCACAAAAAAAAACAACATTATACCACTACTTTTGAATTTGTAAATACACGACCTTCCAGAAAATCTCATCTTTTTTAAATTGTTTGCAGCAGGTGTAACGAATCAGACCAATTGGGTGGGGAAAATTTATATATAAGTGATACTCGAAAGTCGTTAAGGCATATATTATTTTTGAAAAACATTAGATACGAGTGTTAATCACTATGAATGCGGTAAGTTGTTATAAACACAAATTTGTATGTGAGTAAATACTTTTTTGATCGCAATTTTAATGGGAACCCTTTTTGCTTTAAATTAGAAAAGGGTAAAATAACCACATATTTTATGAAACCAATAAACGTTAATCTTACTTCTTTCAGATTTGCTTTGCTCTTTTCGTCGTGTCTGCCGTAGCAGTCCCTCAATATCAGCCATATTCTCAAAATCTGCAGAACGTCCCCATTATTTCGCAAACGAATGATATATATCCTGATGGTCGCTTTAGTTACAGGTAAGCGTTAATAGTCCGGGAGACGGTCACAATTTCAGTACCTCGATCCAGTTACGTCCAAAGATTGTAATTAATTTATCGCATTAATATGTACAACCATGAAGTTATTAACAAATTGAAAAGCTGGTGACAATACTTCGATGTTGTTTTGCAATAAACAGTGCATATACGAGTAAAGAATAATGCAGAAAGTCAGAATGTGCAACTCTGTTTCGTTCAACCTCGCCGCATAGCATGGGCGTGCAAAGGAGATGTTTATTGTTGGTAAACTGCACTCATAAAATTATGCCTTAAATTTGGCAACAAAATAATCGTTTATCTTGCCTTGCGAAACCATATCGGAAAAAGGTGGCAAAACAGGTAATTTAGACGCGCTTGTCCGCTCCATTAATTGACGGTTTATACAGAGTGTTTGTAAAATAAGTAGGAAGCTTGCAGATGGTGATAGGGTGGTCAAAAGTCGCTTTCAAGAAAAGCATATTTGAAAGTAAAGACAAGGGTCAGTGCGGCCCTAGTAGGATCACACAGGGTAATACAACATTGCAACGCCGCGTTCAATCAGCTGCAACATGCCACCATTTCTTTTGTTTTTTTACTCATGTATTGTTTGTTATTTGTTAACTTAGATTTAAATGAGGTGTTTATGTTTACAGGTAGCCTAGAGTACTTCATTGTTCTTTTAACGTCGTAGGCTTGTATTATCTATATATGTAGACAGTCGAAGTCATTAGAAGTAGGTCAGTGTGTCAATATCATAGGTTGGTGCAGAAAAGACGGCGGATTGGACGTAGTATCACATGTATGTAGGCAACATACATAGTGGCAGTATGTACCTACGGATTCTGCACAATGACTAGAGCGTAGTCCTGATTTAGGTCCGTTTGCCGCTTTTTTATGAGTTATCCGATACAGCACGTGCATCAAACGCCAGTACAGAACGCTAATGATGTAACCGTGTATGATCGGTGCAAATGAAATCCGCCAAAGCTGGACACTTTTGCCCGACTCAGAATGTGTGTGTGTTTGTTTGTATGAGAGTGTGCAAGTGAATTTTTGTGATGTTTTGATTAATTTGTATTCACTGGTGTTTCAATTAATTTTTAGTGGAAGGACGCACTGGCAATACCCAATGGTGGTTTTGAAATAAATATTAATAAAACTACTATTACATCTCCAAATGATATTAGTTTACCTATTAAAGTTTGCTTTCTTTTGTGCTCTTAATACAATGTCGAGGTACACTTTAAATAGTACTGCATGCTATTAGCAACGAACAAAGTAGTTTTTAATTCATTATTATTATAGCAGTGTTCGTCTAAAGATTATTATGTGTAGTAGCATAGTAATAAGCTGTTGATATTTACTTTATTGGTCGTTCCCCAACGTTACTTTTAATTCATGTAGTTGCTTAGTTGTTATCGCTATTTCCTTATCGGCATCGGGTTGCAACTTCGTCTGGTTTTGTTACAATTTTTTCTCTTAATCACACTGATTTATTCGCCCTTCAAAACTTGCTACTTATTTCAGAAACACCTTGTATACTACACCCATGTGGTTTTGTGCTAAATGAAGTACCAAATTAAAGATCTTGATGACTTTTACCCAAGAAGTCAATCCTCCTGTGAAACTGACAAAAATGGATGTCAGGGGAGGTAATTGGATGCATGCGCACTTGGTTACTTTTACCTTTGGGTCCGGATTTGTGAATGTACGGACCTAGTTGGTCTAGATACATTCTTATGCTAACTATATTCATATATGATTTGTCATTTCTACTTACACGCATGCGCATTGACATGGAACAAGCACAATGTTTTATTGTGCTATTATTACTACAGAAAATCAATTCTACACTATATCAAAACTTCAACAATTTCTGGCTTTCGAAATGAATGAAAATTTTAGGCATATATAGGAAAATGAGGTATCTTTGCAGAAAATTGCAAAAAGCGAGCATTGGCATCATACTCCAATTAAAAAGATGCAATAGATAATTTTAAGGAAGATAAGCATATCATTTGAAACCTCATATTTCACGCTATTTTTAAGGGTTACTATATTCGAGAGCGCCCCCAATCACCTCCATTTCCACCCTTTGTACGAGGTAGAGTTCACTTTTTGGCTAAAGGTCATGAAGTTTTTTAATTTAATAAATCCGTTAGCGCAAAAACCACCTGGGTGTAGTAAATAAATTTGTATATAGACCGTCAAACCGTCAACAACGCGGGAGTGCGCCGCAATTGCCTGCTCTGCCACCCTGTTTTGGCAAGTTTTCGCAAAACAGGATCAACTTTTCAAGACCTTTAATTAGATATCTCTATTTGTAAAAATATGGTATAATTAGCCAACAATCAGCATTTCCATTGCGCGCCACTGCCAGAGTTATACTACAAGAATGGACGAGGCAAGTAGGCATATTCTAACGCACTGCAGTATCTTCTACACATACATGTATTTACAGAATTATTGTTGTTGTAGATAATTAAAAAAGACGATTTAAAATTTTCAAATAGATTCCAAAAATACACATTATTAGCAACAACTTCTATAAATTGGTAACAGTATCTTAAAAATGTCTTCCAACGAATGGTCATAAGGGTGAATCTACGTTCGAACCCGATCTATGAAGTGCTAGTGGGGAAGAGTAAAAACTCAAGATAGGTTGGTAGAACTAGACATATTAATACCAGAAATTAATAGGGTCAGAGATAGACCTAGAACAGATTGCTATTCGCAAATTGTTATAGATATAGGTTGCTCTAGTTTTCGAGGAATGCGAAGATTGACTCAAAATAAAAATAAAGTTTAGGTACGTGACCGAAGTCTTCGGGATAAAGACCTTATGAGAACGATGAACTTGAACAAATCAATTATGAAAACCGTTTTGTCAATTCACACTCTTAAATGTCTACTGTATCAATAGCAGTAGTATTGTTTTTAATATTTTTTCTAAAAACGAAAACAGCTACCAAAGTGGTGATGGTCAACAAGCTGAAGCAAGAGGTGCTCCGAGAGCTTCTGCAACATCACACGAACCTGCCGAAGTCATTCAGGGTTCTTATTCATACACTGCCCCCAATGGTTCGCCTGTGGCAGTGAAATATACAGCCGATGAATTCGGATTCCATCCTGAAGGTTCCCACATTGCATTAAACTCCGTGGTTCAACCTGAAAAATCCGCAACAAACCAGGAGTTTGTTTATCAGCCAAAAGTTACCGCTTACTCTCAGAATTATTATAGGTCATATAAACCCTACAACAGTTATCATCCTTATTACAACCGACGGTACTAATCAAAAAATTATTGTGAAGAAAAGGTCTATCTGTACCCAACTTAATTGTAATAAAGAACATATAATATACTAAACGTCGTCGTCTATAATTATTCAGTAATACACAAATAATTCTATAAGGTAAGTAAAATTGTTTTTTGAATAAATGTGTGCACTTTTACTGTTTTTCATGGATTGATTTAAAAAAATATTTACTCTGTTACTCAAAAAATTCAGAGTTACTTAAACTTAGCGAATGCATTTAAAAGCCAGAGGAAAATATATAACAATTTTTTCAATTTATAATTTGTAAATTTCTTATTAATGAAAACTGCATTTAAGTTTCGCGTTTCTCAGGGAGATTCCCTACCACTAGATTCGAAAAAAGTATTCAAATGTAAAAAATACTAAGAAAAGAACAGTTCTGAAAGATGACAGATATTCTAAAAATCGCCATTTGAAGTTCGCATACATAAATAAATAAAAAAATAAACCCTCATTAGAAAACCTTGTCACGGCGGACACATGTTTCTCTTACTTCTAATGAGGCATTATCAACGGGGGACTGGTTGGGTGTTGTTAATCGGCGGTTTTGTTAATTACAGTGATAAAATCGGCCGAAAACATTTCTTAACCATCAAAAATAAAATTTAATTCGGCCGATGTATGTGCAGGTAGACTCATAAAATAAAAACAACATCTTAAGTGCCAAACGCGAATTATTATAATATTGTTACATACTCTCTTATAATATTATTCATATAATCAATAACAACCCCTTACGGTAAAGGTAGGTAGTCTCTTAATCAGTTACTTTACCACTGACAACGGAAAAATTAATATTTTAGATTAACTGAAACTAACATCACATGGCTATTGTGTAAAGTTTTAAAATTTATAAACATAATCAGTGCATTTTATTAAAGATGACTAATACACACGATAATTGCAACACTAAAAGAACTGCTACTTTCTTTGATAAATATTTGTTTTATTGTGGTTTGATATTCCGTTTATTTGAATAAGTAAATACTTAAAGCAATATGTACAATGAAAGTGTTCTCTTCAACTAACATATAGAAGCAATTTTTTCAGCAGAATTTATATACTCAATTGAAATTATTGATAAATTTAAACGGATTACTCATGCAGACCCCAAACCCTACAACCTTCCTTTCCCTACACAATAGACACCATTGAGTATATAGACATTTGCCCACGACTCGCTAACCACCTTCTTCGCTCGACCACTCAACAAACTGACCACCAACATTTTCCATGCAAGCATATCGCGCAGCCGATGGGACCACAATCGACTATTTCACGCGGTTTATCTGGTCACTGAACCTGAGTAAAATCCCTGACAACAACACGCGCACTTCGCACGCGTCCACATGGGCACCAAACTTAACGACGTCCTAAAGATCTTTGTGAGTTCCAATGACCCGGAAATCCAACAAAAGCTGACAGTACACTTCCACACCACTCGCAACATGTAGGTACGCTGAGAGCAACAAATTTCGGAGCATCATGCAAAAGCCAGAAGAAGTTAAGTGTGGCAAGAGGGGTCACATAAGTAAAGTCTGCCGTACCAGGTCAATGAAATGAGCAACGAACGAACTGGCCGAGGACTGACTTCCGGCAGATAAAATAGACGTTGTCCAATATTTTAACAAGATTATGGTTATCGGAGCAGTTAATTCTCCACCGACGCAACGGTTTGACGTCACCATAGAGGGAACCGCCGTCAAAATGAAACTCAACACCGACGCACCCTGCTTACAGAAGACGGATCGTAACTTAACTTTGCCAGTTACGCTGACCACCGCATTAACTGCATTGGCAAGACGGCTGTTAGCACCACCATTGGAGCCACAACTAGGAACCTGTACCTCAACTTGGTCGATGATGAATTCGAGACTCTTCTTGGTCGAGAGTGGATATCTGAGTTTGTGCGAGAAATAAACTTCGAACGCCTCTTCGCAAAACCTGACCCAATTCACAAGCTCTCAACTACACAGCCTTTGTCACTAGATTAATAGAACCAGCTGAACAACATCCTCACTCGCTACCAAGATGTGTTCAGCGACACCCCTGGGAATGTTTCAGGCCCACCAGCAAAGATGCACCAGGATGCTGGAGCTACACCCATCTTTGCCAGAGCACGCGACGTAATAGTTGCACTCCGTGATGCTTATGCAAAGGAAATCGACGCCAAAATGACATCCGGTTTCTACAAAAGAGTAGATTACTCTGAGTGGGCATTTACAACACACGTTGTAGCCAAGAGAAACGGCAAGCTGAGGATCATGGACAACTACAAGCCCACCCTCTACCCGATGATCATCATTGATGAACACCCCATTCCCAAGGTGGAACACCTGTTTAACCAAATCAGCGACGCCGGTCTCTTCTGCCACCTAGACGTCTCCAACTCATACACTCATCTCGAGGATGACGATGAGTTCGGCCACATGCTCACATTCAACACTCCAACTCATGGCCTGATCGAACCCACAAAAGCCGTCTATGGAGCAGCTAACATTCCCGCCCTCTAGCAGCAGCGGATGGACACAGTCCTGCAAGGTCTAAAAAGGCCGGGAGTTTCTTTAATGCTGCTATCGTCTTCGCTGAAGATTTTGAAAACCTTGTGCAGGCCCTAAACATAACCCTAGAACATAACACGGTCACAAGCTCAACCGGTCAAAATGTATCTTTGCTCAACCTACCTTGGAACTCACTTTTCATTGACAGTCAACCTTGTCCGAAACTTTTCTTCTCAACAAGAAGAAAATATAGACGGTTTTGGCGAATTTGATTTGTTGACAATTCACCAGATCTAGCACCTGCCTGTGAAAACCGACGCCATTGCACGTGAGCCTAGAAAAGATAACCACCTTGGTAAAATTGTGAAGTTCCTTGAGTTAGGACAAGAACTAGACCGTCAATATTACAAGATACCCGAAACCAAGTATACTCTCGCCGCCGGATGTCTGATGTTCGAGCACCGAGTCGTTTTCCCACTTTCTCTGCGCGATGCCATCCACAATGACCTTCACGCAATTCATCTAGAGATGATAAAGGTTAAAGGCATGGCACGTTCCTTCGTGTTCTGGCCTAGCATCGACGTAGACATCACAACTCTTGTCAAATTCTGCCCTGTGTGTCCAACCCATGTGTACTCACCACCCCGTAGGCACCATGGGAACGGATCCAAATCGACTACGCTGGCCCAGTTGTAGATACTATGTTGCTGATTGATGTCGACACCTACAACAAATGGCTTAAGGTTAAACTAATAACCTCCATGTCAACAGCCGCCACGATCACCATCATGGACAACCTATTCACGACGTACGGCGCAGCAAGAACTGTGGTCGCTGATAAGAGTCGACAGTTCATCTCAGAAGAGTTCAAGATCTTCCTGTAGAACAGCGGTGTAAAGTACTACAAACTCTCAGCACCGTACCACCGATCAACGAATGGCTAAGCTGAATGATACGTTCAGACGGTAAATAACGCCCTCTATGCAATGAAGACAAACAAAGGAACCCTCCGCATCAACTTGAATTAGTTCCTCCGTAAGGCCCCGCACTCTACCACTGCCCACTGCCCAATCTCCAGATCAACTATTCCTGTGACGAAATCTTCGCACTCGCCTCAACCTAACCAGATCTGATGACATCCACACCAAGGTTGCCGAAAAACAAGGAGCACAAATGAACTCAACATTCCGCACACATGAAACTGGACAAAAGGTTTGTGGGAACACTCGGTAAAGCATTAAACAATTTAAATGTGTAATAATTAAAATTCTTCATTTGTGTTGAGTTACTAAAATCGCGATACAGTGCGACTAACTAGTTCATAGACATTTACACACACAGATGTAAACTGCTGAAATAACTATTGCCATTAAACCAATGTAAATAATTTTGTATAAATAGCGTGTAAATAATTGAATAAATTAGTCTAACACCAGGCTCACTTCTATTTGGATACTGCAATAGTATCAGCCCTTGGATACTGCAAGACTATCAACCATCGAATGCTGCATCAGTGCTACTACTCATCTTAGACACGGCAATGTGTTCAATGTCGTTGTAAATGGGTTCTTCTCAGAACCACAACTTTTGTTGGTCACATCTAATACGACTACAGGTTTATTTCTTATCTGGCAACGTTAAGCTAAACAAATGACTTCCTCGGACGATTGCAAAACGTATAGGTGATATCCACTACGAGATTAATTGCTGAGGCAAATGTCTGAAGCGTCACATTGATTAGATCAGATCATTCTCCGACACTGGAAAAGACCACCAATCTGGAAAACACCCAGAGGCCAACCCATGAAGAACCACCTCTAACCACAGAACAACCAAGATTAAGACGTGTTCGCTTCTTCGGAGCCCAGCGGTCACAACTCCAGATGAAAGAGCTTCGCATCAATAAATTTCTGCACCATTACAAGTTCGGTCACCAGCAGCTCCAGCAACCCCCCGGAACAGGAGATCAACTCCTCAAACTTCGTTCACCCTTGAAATACTCGTCACAGTAAAACCGGTATTCTATAAGATTCTAATAGCTACACGTGTCCCAGACGATCCCTATAATTACTCATGTAGGCCCTAAACCCTACAACAAAAACAAGCAAATAATCGTTCATCTGGACAGAACCTAAAAGGAGAGAGAAACAACAATCAATCAATCAACAACTGCAAGATTTCTTAGGTGACGAACAAGAGAATCGACATAGCACAACCCTCAAGTCCCACCTGGGATCAGTAGCGAAAGAGACACATTCTATTCACACAACCAGCTCTACCAGACTACGAACAACAATAGGTGCCAGAAGACTGAAGGCTCACTTTTCGTTGCTAGCCCACAAAATAGAGAGAACCTAAAAGAAACCAAAGGAACCGAACCCATCCAATCAAAAATAGGCTATACTTCATTTACTTTCTCTAGCGATGTGCCCCTTCCAATGTATTGGATGCGCGCTGGCAAAATCGTAGGTAGGGAGAAAAAAGCTCATTATACTCTCGACTCTTGTTCATTAAACGTACCTTTTTACACAGTACCTGCCAAAAGTTTTGTTCAATTATGAATAGTAGTGCGAGTCGAAAACAAGCGTTAAAGCCTTTAATATGTCTTCAAGTATAAATAAACATCTCGTTGGTATTTTCAGTAGTAAATTTTAGCAATGCAATTGTAGTGGATAAAATGGTCAATTTTTCCGTGCAGTACTGTACGGATTATACACTCCTCACCGGTTAAGAGTTTGACCGAGAGTTGTCTCCTTCCTTTTCTGGCCTAGTGCTGTTCTTTTCTACTTTCCTCCGGTCAAACTGAAGGTCACATCGCTACAGAAAGTAAACGAAGTATAATAATAAACACGTTTTGGAATAGTAATGGACCAAATAACCTCCTTCAAACTTTTCTTCGAGGATTACAATAGTGAGGTGTTCAGTCTTTCTGGAGAGTTAACGATAAATCAAGTTGTCAAGTCCAGCAATAAAAGACAAAACGGCAGGTAAAGATAGGTGGTGTTTAATTGTCCTTTATATATAGAATACAGCTGGCAAAAATTATTGAGATTATTAACGTCTCTCAGGTGTGGATTATACGTGCTTAAACGCAAAATTTAAACTATAATACTTATAATAAATAATCAGTTGTTCGCGACCATAATTTTTCTACAACAATAGAGTTACTGAATAAGGTACTATTAGAACTAAATAATAAACACGCATAAGCTTTCAATGATTTTAGGAGACTTGAATGCAAGGATCGGAAACCTGAACTAGGTTGATGATGAGGTCTTGATAGGGAGTTATTTTATAAGTAAAGCAAGTAATCAACACCCAAGTATTAATAAAAACGGCAATATTTTGGTAGAAAAATTGGAATCAAATAGAAAATCGTATTGTGATAAACTAAGATCAACCATTCTTATAAATAGCAACAGTACAGGTACAATAGATTAGATATGGTACAACTTGAACGGCTTACCCCATTTCACAGACTCTAAAGTTCTTTCAGCAAGATCATCGGATCATCTGCCAATTCAAATCCTATTAAGGAACCAAAGTAGCCACTTCAACTCCACACGCATTCGCGATCTATCAAAAATATGTTACAATACCTTATTGGAGCCCTATAAAGATGTACATTCAGACAATAGGAGAACTCTTCAATGAACGCAATTCATGGCTACATAGTGAACACAGTAAAGAATATACCTAGAGCCGTAGATATGACAAAGACAATTTAATATAACCCTAAATAACAGGAACAGCAAACCGTGGTACAACAAAGATTACTAGGACAAGCAAAAAGATGTCAAACGAAAACACGAAACTGGTCGTAATCAAATAAAGGGGAAGATAGAACTGCGTACAGGAAAACAAGAAGAGGCTAGGTGAAATTAAATAAACGCAAAAAAACTGAGTGTATAGCTACTATTCAATCCGACATAAATAACGTAACAGACTCAAAAAAATTTTGATAAACGACAAAAAGACTAAGTAAGAGTGAAAAAACGCATGTCTTCCACAATAGCGGAAAAAAATTGAGCAGAGCATTATAGAAGGTTATTCCCACAAATATTAATTTCTTTCAATGAATTCATGGACTGTTGTCGCCCATATCCAGACAAGGATATAGAAGTGGAGGAAACAGTGAGTATTATACAAAAATCTAAAGTTAAAGAAATCGAGATAACAAATGAGTTTTGCAAAGCTACGCCTCCTGAATGCATAGAATCACAACTTTATTCAACAAAATCTTTACAGCTGGATAAACTCCGGACTACTGAAGTTAACTAGATATAATAATGTTACACAAGAATGCAAGATCCAAGAAATTATAGAGGTATTACTCTGTTGGTGACACTCGAATTGAGCACAGAGCGTAAGCAGGTAAACAAGTAATTATCGAGGGTTTGTTTATCAATAATTGAGCACAGGAATCATACAGGTAGCAAATAAAAATACCGATGATAAGAACAACATTAACGTTGTAATGCTTATTAATTGTTTTTGTGCTTAATTCAAGTGCACCGACTCTGTTGAATTCACCAATAGGAATTTTTACTTCTACATATACTAGTGGAAGTCATAAATACCTATGTAGAGAGTTCCAATGTACTTCCCGAAGGACAAAACGGAAAAAGTTGATAAAGTTAAAACAAACATCTTCAAGTCATTACTAGGGTTACCAAGATGCACACCGAAATACATGATTAGAAACAATCAAAAGAACAATGAAATATTGGATAAAATAGTTAGACATGAACGAAGAGCGACTTTCAAAAATTTGTTACCAGAATTTAATTAAACCAGATCAATGCTCGGGTAATAACACAAAATAAAATTTGGATTTACAGTTCATACGGAATAACCATAATTTCCAAACAGTTAAGGATTACTATCAAACAATAGTAAATAGGTTTATCAAAAGCACATTTCACGAAGACGCCAACAAGGCATTGATTTCAAACTACAGAAATTATACAAATTTATAAAAACAATAGCCGAATCAAAGTAGCGTATGCTCCAGCTACCTCTGTCTTACATATGACTTTTAGCGCAATTGAAACTATCTGGGAGGACCAAATAGTAATAAACATTATAGGTACAACTTACAGGGTGAATGAAAGCACCTTGTGTTCACTACGTAACCTAAACCATTATGAAACTTTAGAGCGTGAAGTACTGCGATCTTTATGACTGATTAAGAACTCCACGTTAGGAAAATATTGTAATTTGTAACTGTAATATACACACTCCATACCTTAAGTGAGCAACCTTTGTTATCATGAAAAAATAAACTACTATTTTTTAGAACTTAATATGAAGAATAATTCATAGGGCTAAAAATTAAGCTCTGAGAATGAAATTTTTCGAGCATCCCATCTGCAACAACTTAATGTCTACCTTGCATTGTTCGATAATTCTCTAATTCAAATGTAGCTTTAAGATTTCATCCATTTAAATTTATTATTTTACTATTCACGGAGTATTAGCAATATCCGCGGCAAGTATTTCAAAAACAATAGGAATTCAATACTGCTATAGTTATCGTTATTCTTAAAATTTGACTTAAATGAGGAACAGACTGCATCGTAAATTTCGTTTTCAACAATTATGTAAATGAAAGGAAATATCCGCAATTGTAAATCATTGAGTACAATTTTCTTGCCAAGTGCAGGATAGATTCTTGGTCTTAAATATAACGCTTCTCGAACAAGAGAATGTTACTAAATGGAAGTAGTTTATGTGAATATCAAAAGAGTCTGCTGCATTGTTCTCTTCTATTATTTCCATTTCATTTTCATTCTATTCCGCATAAATTCGTTCTACTTTTTAAAGTTAGTTAACTATTATTTAATGATTATCAATAAACAATGATTAAAAAAGAATCAGATTT